CATAAAACTTTATCGACACCTCGAATGAAACACTCCAGGGTCCTCTAGATGGTACATGCGCAGAAGTAGTAACGGCTCCTATCGACACTTTGTCGATACCAAGCCTTGCCGTTGACGAAAGCCGAAATCGATAAAAATCCGAAAACCGAACTGATTAAAACCGAACGACAAACCGAACCGAAAGCGACGAGGCGGTAAACTATATACACTATTCACTCACCTGATGCCACCGTCAAGTGTTGTACTTGAGCCTATTATCTTTGGTGCAACGTTTGCTAAAAATTCGTCATCCACAAGATTTGAATTAATTGGTTAATTAAGATATTTTGCAAATTTTCTTGACGACAAACAGTTTTAGCAAAACGTTGTACCAATTAAATCTGCTCTACCTTAAATATGGGGTTGCTGCCAAACTATGCGAACTGTCTCCATCCAGACGCGGCTTAACCATAGACTAAAGCTTCTTGTACAGGGAATATTAGGTGCTGCATTAGCGAAATCCAGGTGATGAGTTGTAGATACACCAGGCGTTGAAGTTGGGCCGACCAATTATTTAAGTACTACTATGTAATCTAAGTACCTATCTACCTAAGCTCATTGGGAAGGTAGTTTGGGCTCCGGTGTTAATATCCTCCATGATAGTTCTTGGTGCTCCGTTATTACTGCAATGTTAGCCACTTATACTAGTTAGCTAAGTATACGCTAGATGTCTAGGCGAGTCTTCGGTCGGCCTCTTCCTTTATCATACCATAGACACACAATGTCAGGGACGCGCTGTGGACAGTTTGCTCGTAGTACTACCATGGTGGACCAATTATCGTGGGCAGTCGACGCGAAGAATGAAGATTACCTGCGCCTACTATTTGTAGACGATAAGCGCATGCGTTGTGCAATGCAGGACTTCCTAAACGGGAAATTCCTCCCACAAGGCAAGATTAACAAAAAGACACACGCGATCGTCTCATTGCTAGCCCCGCTTTAGCAAGAAAATTTTCCCATTCACCCTAAATCTCTGTAAACTAACTATAGCACGCCAAGCAGACACAAGAGCTACACAGGACCTTGGCGCTTGTGATACAGGCAAGGGAAAGACCAGAAGATCTCTCTTTATCAAGCGAGTCCCCCACGCGCGCGTCCTGATTTTCTCTTGTAACACTCTAGTAGCGCTGCTAGGCAAGCTACTATCTTTAATATCTACTCGTCGCGATGCTGATCCTCTGATGATGTGTCCATCTCGTAGACTGGGCTGGAGGGGTTGTTCAATTTCTAACCTTTGGTGTGTGCGTTGTCCCATTTTACCCTTCTGGAAACCTGCGATAAGGCGTTACCTTCACGCGAAGAACGTCCCGATCGCATGTAACCTCAAATGTATGACTAGTTGAGAATTATCTAAACTGATCTACACTAGCAAAAAAGTGGTGGGGGTACATCTTAGTCGTTACATTTTTGTTTTTTTCACAGCCAAGCATTTGTTGTTTAATGTTTGTTGGACAATAAAATTTAACGTCAAATCTAACGTTTCTTTCGTCTTGATTTGATCTTTTAGCTCCGAATTAAATTTATGACAGATGAACACCAAACCACATTTGCGAGGCAACTCTAACTAACTACCTGCAACTAGAGAAACCACTAAACGTGCAAGGAGAAGCCAAATGAGGTCTCCATGCAGCAGCTGAATGGCTTTCTTCCTCTAGTTTCCTAAGTTACGCTTTAATAGAAATCTGGTTGAACCTTACCAATAAAAGCTTCACTTGCGTAGCGTTTAGTCTGGCAAGTGAAGTGTGACAGATTAATTGAATTTGGCGCAACTAGGCAGAAACTTGCGATGACGTCCACGATGATGATGACGATGACGGAGACGTGGCTCATTCCAATAACAGCCGAAAAAACATCGTAGACAGCCGAACTATAGAAACTGCTGAACGAAGTTGAGCCAATTAATGACCGAATAACCTGCAAAGTAACCCATTGAAAAGGAAAAGGAAAAGGGGAGGAACCTTACCTCACCAGGGTACCCGTTAGTACTTAACTATAATTACATTAAGCCGAATAAGAAGTCGACGGACTTCAAGCCGAAGGTGTGTGGAAAGTATGCTTTGTAAGGTTCATCCAGAGCTTTAAGTATTATCCTCCCACTGCCCGCCCAATGTGACTGACCAGAATATTCGACGCTTCTCTCATCAGGCGACTGACTGGTTTCATTTTCTTGTACTCATTTGAAGAAGTGCAAGCTTTCTTGTATGGGAAGGTGGGTTGTATTCCATGTCCATTGGGTGCGCGGAGACTCAAGCTTCTCAAACGTTGATTTTCACACCGAAAATACCTCTTGGCGACCTGCTGAGACTTAACACAATGCTGATCAACAGTTAACATCCATTAAGACTCAATAAGAATATCCAATTCAAAATCAATTAAAATCGAAAAAATCATTAAAACAAAGTTAATGTGATTTCAAAGAAAAAAAATTGAATACTACCCAATCATCTAGTTCATTTGTTGATACATATCTTTGAAGTGCCACGACGATATATGTCTGAGTCCAATTCAAATCCTTCGCCTTTTGTATTATGATCCACTTTTCTGTTGTCGTCATGGAAACTCAGGTAACTCCTCTTTGTTACGTCAATTCCTTTCTCTTTTGTCGAAGGACACAGATATTTCCCGCCAAATACTACTTCCAGATATTTCCCCCTGCTGAACCTATATCATCGCCTTTCCACCTCGTCTTTGTCTTTTCTATAATCTACTGCCCAAGGGTTGTCAGTGGAGGAGTCTTCGATGAAGCTTTGTTGGTGCTAAGTTGGGTTGAAATGCTGTTCTATGAAGGTGCCTCATTATTAGTGGCTGAGCATTTGTCCAGTGTACTTTATCGCTTGTAATTCTACCACATCCTATGATTTGCAGTACTCTTATTTAGCATCTATCATGAAATGCTGCTAGCCTTTTCCTACCTCCTCCAGTCTAATGTTGCAATTAAAACACGATGTGTACATAACCGTGTTAAGACAATCAGATGGCATGGGATATCTTTGTCTTTGATTTCATTGCCTTGAGATGCACGATGTGGTATTACCTTTCGAAAGGCATCCGCTCCACGACCAATACGACATTGTAAAACAGGCGTTAGGTATCCATCCTGGGTTTTAGGCAGCATTCTCTTGCTTCTACTATCCCAGAAATCTCGACGATCAGTTTTAAATCTGTTGACTTGCGAATAGCAGTAAGTTTCTTTGTGATTAATCTCTTGATGTTGACTATCTTCAGTGATGGGACCTCAAAACTCTCAAAATTTTCCAAAGGGATTTTTTATTGGTTAATTATTTTTTTCAGGAGCGAGTCCATACCTCATCTTCTTTTACTACGCCTGCTTGAATTTCCTTGTAGGGCCAACTCCTAGAGCGATTTATAGTAAGGCGGGTAAAGAGGTTGATTTTTTAGTCTCTCATTCTTCAGAGACATACTGACATACTGCGTACATCGTTCAAATTAAAGCCTCTGAAATCTCAGCCAAAGAATTGTGTGAAAAGTACACTTAAACATGTGGCTTTCAAAGTAACGTAAGGAAGGAAACGGGTTAACGAAACCAGTGGAAACGTACCGTCTTTCGTTCATGTTCTCATTTATCAAGCAAAGTACAGAATACATTGAAAACGCCTTTTTTCTTTAGGCAACACAAAGCATTTCAGAGATAGGAGTTAATTATTCATTCGGAGAGCGAAGTTATGTAGCATACATCCCATGAAAGCGTTCAGCAACAAAAGCACAGTAACACTAAAGTAGACGGAAGGACAATCTTACTTTCTCAGTGGTTGAAAACGGGCAAGAAATATCGGTCCCTTATTTCTTTATTCGGTGTAGGAAAGAAACAATAAGCCGAAACAGCATTAAGCCACTCTTCTAGGTCAAATTAACCATTCTTGTCTTCAGTGAGGCAACCTTCTTTTTTCCGTAGACGTGACGTAATTTCCGTGCGGGTTTTTGCTGTCAGCAAAAGCGTCCTTTGTTTGGATTCTTGCTTGCTTCTCAAGTTAATTCATTTTGCTTCTTTGTTGACGATTTTCCCCTAAAATTCAGCTTTAACTTCTTATCACACTTCATTCAATTAACTGAAGAATCTTTTTTTGCTTTTTCCATACCAATGCCAGTTACTCTCTACTTTTTTTTCGGTTAATCCACCTTTTATTCTCTGTCTTATTTCTTATTCTCTTCTAACTAACGAAAGTTTTTATTTTAGGTCAAGCATTCGTATTTGAATCCATTTTCTTATCTTGCAAGGTCTGTGAAGACTCTGTCTAGATCGCGGAAGCCAACTCAAGCTGAAACCGAGACACTAAAACAAAGGGTCGTTGATACCGCTGCCAGACAGGATTGTGGTCCCTCTTTATGTTTGCCCCTCTCGGCAATATCACATTTAGTGATAACTTTCTCCACTTCTCGGGTCAATCTGTTTATGGATCCACGTGGCATTATGATGATCTTGTGTTAGTTTAGACAGTTCCCTACTATCAAGTGCTTTCGATGTGATTGGGCACGACGATTCCAAAGAAGCTCCACAACAGATTACACTTCAAAGTAAAGTGCCTCTCCAAGTAACGAAAGCGAGGATAACGCGCAACGAAACGTACCGTCTTTCGTTCATGGGTTCATTTTTTAAGCAAAAGGTAGAGTGTAGATTAAACATACCTCTCCTCCTTAGGGAACACGAAGCATCTGTATGAGTAGGAAATTTGAATACCGTTCTGAATTGAGTAGTCTCACAGGAGTTATTTTGTCATCAATAAAGCGATAGGAAGTCAAGTGGCATACGTCCCATGAAAGCCTTAACCAACAGAAGGATTGTTAAAGTAAAGGAGATGGAATAACAATCCTACGTTAATAGGTTTAAAAAGGCAAGAATTATTAGTAATTTAATTTCTCAGCCGGTCATTATTAGACAGAACAAAATCAATAAGCCGAGACAGCATTAACCCTCTCAGCTCGTCCAAACTATCATTTTCGTGTCCAATGATGTATCGTTCCTTTTTGCGAAATTGCTTCCCCACATCTCCATCAGGATTTGGGCCTCATTCCTCTAACTTTATTCTTGCTTGCTTCTCAAGTCAATTCTTCCTGCTTCTTGCTTGAAGCTTTTTTAAGTTCAATTCCGCACTAACTTCTTTTCAACCATTATTTAATTCTCTGAATCAGAAACGCTTATTAGTCTCTTCTGCATGTTTCTCGGCAAGATATCCACGTTTTATTCTCTCTCTTCTCTGTCTTCCTCCGTTTTCCCTGCTACCTAACCAATCTTTTCTATGCATCTTGCATTCAGTGTAGTGTCTTGCAAGTTCTGTGAAGATTTTCTCTTCATCACTATAGCCAACCCTGGCTGGAACCTATACATAGAAGTAAGGGTTAAGATATATCTAAGCCCGCGATGACCAGATGGTGGTCCCTCTCTAACACATCTAGTAGCGACTTTCTCCATTTCTTGCTCAAACTGGCCTGGGATTCACGTGGTATTATGTATGATCTTGTGCTAGTTTAGGCAGTTCCTTACTATCAGCTTGCTTTCAAAGGGAACTACTTAGCATTCCCTATAGCACGCTGAAGGACCAGCATGCTTTTACAGTGCATCGAGGATATCTCTGATATCTCTGATTTTCTCTTCCAGTTCCTTATTTGGTACATGCTGCAAATATGTCATCTTGAGTAGTGCAGTATTAAAATTTTTCTACCATTACTTCCTCGCTCATCGATTCATAGGACGTTGCTCTTTCACTCTCGGTGTCATCTTCTCCTGATCGTAATGATGTTCAACTATTAATCTTAGGTGTTATCGGCCCTTGTGAGTTAAACTAATCAATCCCAAGTCGTTATGTTGTTAGTTACGATAGTTCGGCAACTTAAATCCCCTTCTGAATGTCTTTATTGTCGTCTTGTTATGCACTGTCTCCGAAAGTACAAGGAAATTTACAGCCAGGTTCTTATCTTCCTTGACATCTTTGATTATCCTTTCTCTGAAATGCTCTTCAGGTCTTCACTTTCATCGTATTTAAGATTAATTCTCTAGATTTGCACCAGGCTACTAGATATTTAAAATCAACCACAACTTATCGTCCTTAACCTGTTAATTAAGGAGTTTCAACAAAGGCCAAGCGGGGCATAAATCCCGTTAGAAGACGGTTGGTAGTTAATGTGCCGTCTGTTGCGCATCAAGAGATTATTAAGATCAGCGGAGAGATAACCTTTTAGAAGTCTGAGAAGTCTTGAATTTTAGTCTAATCTAAAGGCGAAGATGGGTGTCTTGTTCGGTGTAAAGCTCCAACGATTTATTGTCCAATATACAGTAAACAAACATTTGAATTTCATTTCTGATAATCTTTGAACGCCTGTTGGTCGTCTACTTGTTGGATTCAACGTGAGTAAATGCCAAACATTAGTTGATGTACATTCCACATAGCGCGATGAAATCGGGTGGGTGTGGTCCTAAATAGGACTCTTGGTGGCAATAGGGGCAGTACTGACTTTTCGATTCATCATCAAAGTCAAAGTGAATACTACTGAGCATGTCTTGAAAACCCGAACACACCAATCACTTTTTTCGTCATCGTTAGAGCAAAAGCAATAAGCATCAATTCGATTTTAAAAAGTCTCCAATCGCTAGGAAACAGACAGATGGCATAGCAAAGTACAGATAAGAGGAGTTTCTTCCTTGAAATGAGCTTGTATCTCCGGCTTCTTTTAAGTCTTTCATGTCAGTTTAACAAAAGAGGTTATTTCAGAGAAAAGATGAAGTCTTTTAATTTAAGGTTAAACATAGGAAGAATGTGACTCTCTTTCTCAAAGCTCTTTATATCCATATTAACATATAAGACGAAGACAACAAGTATGAATAACATAAAAGAATCTGCTGATCTTAAGCTTTCCAGTGTTTAGGAAGAGCAAAGATAGTGGTGCGAATGCTATTAATCGCCTCTAATCCATTGCTAGTACAGGATTAAAATAGAAGTGTCCTTTCTCCGAAAGGTACAACAGCAAGGAAAGATTTCAACTCCCATCTTGAAGGTTTACATTTTTAATGATAAAGGGAATGCAGTAAATGTAAAATCCTCTAACCTACAGGGAACAATGGTCGCTGACAGTAAAACCAAAGGATTTTACACTAACGTAAGGAAATTTGAAGTGTTTGAATCCACATCGGGAAGTCTTTGCCGACACATTTATTTGATCATCGTTTGAGGAAATGTGTGGAGGCGTGGGTGGCCGAGTGGTTAACACCTCGAACTC